GCTCCATTCCCACAGGAAGACATTTGTCATGCCAAAGAATGTTCCAGAGTGTTTTGAAGTTTTAATTAGCAAACAAACAAAAAATCAAATTAATTTCGAGGAGGGTAAACCTATGTAGTTAACAGATATTGTATTAGTTGAAACATGTTGAAAATGCAGTGAAAAGTGCATTACTGTAAGCTATTGAATATTAATATATTTCTATTGCATATTAATATATTTCTCAGCTCAAAAGTATTCTTCCTCTGCATAGAAAGTTCTCAGCCAACAATGAATCTGATAGGCAAACATCAGAACAACATGCCTGCACTAAAATGTTATTTGAAATGATATAATAACTTAGTACCTTAGGGTATGTCTACACTGTGGGGCTATGGTTGAGGTAAGATATGCAACTTCAGCTACATTAATTGCATAGCTGAAGTCAAAGTACCTTAACTCGGCTTTTGGTGCTGTCTACACAGCACGAAGTCGAAGGAAGAACACTCTCTCCCTTTGACTTCCCTTACTCCTCATGAAATGAGGGTTACAGAAGTCAGAGTAATAAACCCGTTGCTTCAAAATTATTTTGAAATAACAGGCTTGCTGCTGAAATAAGCATGCAGTGTAGACATAACCATTTCTATCTAGAATCTCAAAGTGTTTCTGTTAGGAGATAGATCAGTCATTGCTTACAGATAGCCCCCAAACTGAATCAAATACTTACCAGTAGCCACACCACACCACACCACAGAAACACTCAACTACAAATCTATCCCTGCAACAAACCCTGTTGCAGCTCTGTCTGCATATCTGTACAAGTGACATAATCACAGAAACAAATAAGAAAAAACATCAGGAGCTCATACAAGTGCACATCCTCTAATGTGACATATGCCATCAAGTACCAGCGATGCCCCTTTGCCATGTATATTGGTCAAACCGGACAGTCTCTGTGCCAAAGGATAAATGGACACAAATCAGACATCAGGAATAGTAACACGCACAAACCTGTATGGGAACATTTTTACCTTCATAGACATTTAATAATGGATTTAAAAGAATTAATCACCCAATTTACAGAGGGAAACAGCTGAACTGGACTTAATTTAAAAGTTTGACAGTGTCAATTTAGGTTTGAATAAAGATCTTAACTGGTTAATGCACTACAAAGGCCATTTCCCCACCTTTGATACTCACATCTCCACATCAAATACTGTGAATAAGACACATCCATCTTGACTTAATTATCTTCATTAACACTGGTCCTACAATTGACAGGTAACTTCTTTTGCTGTTCTATATATTCTGAATTCTGTAATTTCCATTCCAACTCATCTGATAAAGTGTGTTTTACCCACAAAAACTCATGACCTAATTGTTAGTTTCTAAGGTGCCACAGAACTGCTCATTATTTTTACAGTTGCTAACACAACTATGCTTCTGAGACTTTTCTTCAGTATTGTGTAGCATAATTACGGTAATTTGGGGTATTGCTGATAGTGGTAAATTCAGTTGTATATTGGTGTCCATTGACTTCTGTTCTAAAATCATAACTGATGAAGGCCCTGATCCTGCAAACATATGAGTGCTTAATTCCACACTTACAAAAATGGTTTTAAGTGGGGGGGTCGGAACGGAGGCGGTTGCAAGTCAGGGGCCTCTTGTAGTTGTCAAATACATTTTGGGCAGAGTCTGTTTGTCCCCTTGGCTATGTCTACACTGGCGCGATCTTGTGCCAGAGATATGCAAATGAGGCTAAGCGTGAAATATCACCAAGCCTCATTTGCATATCGAATGAGCCACCATTTTTGTGGAAGAGGCTCTTGCACTAGAAGGAGCTGTCTACACCACCCCTTCTTGAGCAAGAAAAACCCTCTTGCGCAATGCCACTACACTGATTATTTTCAGGAATAATGGCATTGTGCAAGAGGGCTTTTCTTGCGCAAGAAGGGGCAGTGTAGATGCTCCTTCTAGTGCAAGAGCCTCTTCCGCAAAATGGCGGCTCATTAGATATGCAAATGAGGCTTGGCAATATTCCATGCTTAGCCTCATTTGCATATCTCTGGCGCAAGATCGCGCCAGTGTAGACATAGCCTTACTGTTTTTCCCTATGGTATGCAGAATTTCCTTTCTGACTTGAGAACTGTGCTGAGCTCCTGGATCTTATGTTGCACTGAATATAAGCTTTTGATAAAACTGTTTTATGATAATCGTATGAACAGCAACAACTAAAGATCATTTAGAGTTGAAACAGATGTTAGTCTAAATTTTAAAACAATTCTGGCAAGGGAATAAAGGATTCCTAAGCTGTTTAATGTGACAGGTTTGGTCAAAATGTACTCTGAAGTGCTAGGGTCTTCTCTCTTCAAAACAGAGTTTGTATAATCTGTTCACTTTATCTTTGCAAATAATTATTAATAATGGTAATATATCAGTGGATGTAGGAAGGAATATTAGAAGAGTTGAACATGCTGGAACATGTAGGCTGTTTTTTCCGCTTTGCTGAGTGTTCTAAGCAGGTTGGTTTACCGTGTCCCAAAATGATACTTTTAACAATAGTCCCCCAATTAAAGTTGTTAATTAGTTGCTGTTGGTTTTCAATGATGGATATTTAATGTTGTAAAAAGAACTGACTTTCGTTTGTTTCTTTGAATGAATTTGTTGATTAATTTTGCTGTTTATAAAGCTAGACACATGTAAATGGCTATTACTCTGGAGCATCATGCACATAAATAATGTATAGCAGAGATTAGAGATTGATTGTTTATTCATTGCTCCGATTATTATGTTGCAAGCCGCATTAGACTTTCAATTCAAAACCAGAGTGCATGTAAATTCCATCAAAAGAGTTTAGAATGAATTAAAGCAAAAAAGATGGTAATGGTGCAGAGTGTAGCCTGTTTGGATTCCTTGTGTTAGGGAGAAAAGGCATCTCTCTTGCACTGGTACATCATACGGTCATTTCTGAATACATTACTCTTCGTCCAGTCATGCATAGTGATGGAGAGAAGAGTCAAGACTTTACACCTCCTGTTTCTACTAATGCTCTGCAGCATCAGAGACTATGGGAAACCTGTTGCAATCTACTTTCTCTTTGAAGCTGTAAGGAGACATCTGGAGTTATCTCCCTCACAGGCTGGGGCTTAATCTTACTGCCACTGTCTAAATCTTTGTTTAAATGTAGTTGCAACTCAGCTTTATGCATTGAGATACAACCAGTGTTGTTATAAGACACATCTAAGTCTTCTAGGTCAAAGTCAGTACTATAAAGAGTTTTCTAATTCATTCAGAACAGATTATTTGGACCAATGGTTTGTTGATTTAATTGTCTGTGGTATATGCAGGACTATACTGCTATGGAAAGTATACAGTCTGAAGAAATCTTAAATCTGTCTCCTCTTATCATTGCTCTGCCCTGCTCCAGCATCAGTTTCCTGCTTTCCCATAGAATGAAGTTTCCTAGGCTGTAATCCTTTTTTGCAATGAGTATCCCCACATGAAAGAAAAGTTATCTGTCTTCCTATATCTCCTACAGCCCCCCTCCTCCCCCTGCCATTTTCCCATTAGACTTGACTGGATAGACTTTGCTGAAACCGGAATTTAAAAGAGCCACATTGGTAGACTATGTGGATCACACATCAGGCCCCAATCATCAGTCACGTTGGAAGAGCACAAAATATAGCCTAGCTGCCTTTGTGCTCCTCAAGTCCTGAGCCAGTTATGTGGTGGTCCAATCTGAAAATGTACATTAGGGCCACTTATAGATTCTAAATAACACTAGTTGCCTGTGGCCTGCCTCAAAAGACCAATATGATAGCCAGGAATTGCCATGGTGCATGGAAGTGTCCCATACACCAGTTTCCGGGAGGAGGAATTGCAGTGCCAGTTCTGCGCCACCAGACGTTCCTTCCAGAATGGGATGATTATCTGGGACTAGTAATGCTGGCTTCAGGGCTGCTTTTCACTACGTGCATGGCAGGAAGCAACCCAATGCAGGGGACAGTCTGGCCCTCTCATCTCACCTGCTCCAGTTTGATTCCAATGTTTATTCCACCAAAGTCCTATGATCTATGACCTATGAAGCCAGGCTTCATGAACTGGGCTTGTTTAGTTTGGAAAAAAGAAGATTAAGGGGGGACATGAGAGCGGTTTTCAAATATCTAAAAGGGTGTCACAAGGAGGAAGGAGAAAATTTGTTCCTCTTGGTTTCTGAGGACAGGACAAGGAGTAATGGGCTTAAAGTGCAGCAGGGGAGGTTTAGATTGGACATTAGGAAAAAATTCCTAACTGTCAGGGTGGTCAAATATTGGAATAAATTGCCAAGGGAGGTGGTGGAATCTCCCTCTCTGGAGATATTTAAGAACAGGTTAGATAGACATCTGTCAGGGATGGTGTAGGTGGAGCTTGGTCCTGCCTTGAGGGCGGGGGGCTGGACTCGATGTCCTCTTGAGGTCCCTTCCAGTCCTATTATTCTATGATTCTATGAAAGTCCAGGGGATTGCTTGGACTTAGTGTGACACAACTGTTCTGCTTCTGCAGCTGAGGTATTGGAAAATCCCAAGGCTTTTCCACATAGCATCAATATAGTGGCATGCACTATTCTATTATTTTTAAAGTGGTTCTGAGTGAGGTGTCCATCGGAGCCTCAGAAAGTGCGGAATATTTGTAAGCTCTTTTGTGAAGATCTATACTTATTTCCTTTTTTACATTTTGGACCAGATATTTTGATCTTCCAAACAAAAGCTCTTCTCAAGAAAGCAACATGAGCTTTTCTTTAATAAAAATGGTATTTTCATTGTGATATTTGAAATAATTACCTTTTGTCTAAACAGTTTTAAAAATTTGCTAAGTGAAGTTTAAAACATGCAAAGTTTAAGATAACCGCAGTGGTGGCAAATGTCACTTCATCACTTGCAATGAACAGATTTCTGTGACAGATTAAATAGCTTTTTTAAAAAAATATATATTTATGTATTAGGTAAATGTCAGATTTAAAAATATGTTTTGGTTCCCATCAGGTATCTCCAGGTTCCATTGTTCAATTTGAGAAGGGGAATTTCTCCTTGGCAGTGGAAATTAAGGAAAAGACTTTCCCTCAGGGAAATGAACATCTATTGCAGTGGGCCCAAAAGGAATATGGAGCAGTCACATCTTTCACTGAACTGAAAATATCGAGAAATGTTTACATCAAAGTGGGAGAAGGTAAATGTTTTTCTTTTAACATAACAGGGCATTATTGCAGAATGGTGAAAATGAGATGCATTATAGTTTGTATTTTACATTGTGTCTTGTAATAATTAAATATAATATTCAGTATTTTAGAAGGGAGACATGGATAAAAAAATATGTGGGTAGAGGGGAACAACAAGTCTGAATATCAGGCCAAGTTTTAGGTTCATATGTAGGGATTTTAGTACCTATTTTGGGTTGCTGGGTTTGGCAGTTTTGTCCAGAATTCATCACAGGAGTCAAATATTTACGCAATTGCATTTTCTAAAAAGGTAAATGAATTGTGCTAACTACTTGCATAGCCTGTCCTCTTTAAAGCATTGATTCTCAGAAACTGAGGCAGATTGAAATTTATTTTTGCTAGCCAGAAAGTTACTGAGTTTCTTCTGTGTTCAGGCAGTCCCCGGGTTACATGGATCCGACTTACATCAGATCCCTACTTACAAACGGGGTGAGGCAACCCCGCACTAGCTGCTTCCCCCCAGCAGACTAGGGAGACGCGAAGCTAGCGCCCCACCCCCCAGCAGACCAGGGAGACGCGGAGCTGCTTTTCTCAGCAGACACCTCAGCTTGAGAATAAAGGACTGAGGGAAGTGAGGTGTGGGAGAATAAAACTGAGCTCTGGAGAAATGTTTGGCTAGAGTTTCCCCTACAATATGTACCAGTTCCGACTTACATACAAATTCAACTTAAGAACAAACCTACAGTCCCTATCTTGTACATAACCCGGGGACTGCCTGTATTGCTTTATCCAAGAAATGAACAAGGACAACACTCTTTGCACCAAGAATCTTTCCTTTCTATCATCTTGAAAGATATGTAGCCCCTAAGTTGAACAGTCCTCAAGGAATCAGCCTGAATTAAAAGAATGTAAACTTTTTTTAAAGCTGCTTTTTTTTTCTGAATGCATTCTGAGAGAGAGTTGCTGTATGATGCTGACCTACAAGATGCTTACTGCATATACCCATTCAGTTAGCCCATCAGGAAATTCTTTCCACTGACAAAGGCAGTTGCACACCTCTGCGTGCTGTCATGCCCTACATCTTCCCACAGAGGGTGGGGAATGCGTAGAGCAGCTTTCTAGCAGGAATAATTTTCATGCAGACCTGGATGATAGGTGGTGCATATAGAATACATTTGGCATCAGAAAAATTCAAGAATCATTCATTAATATGTGGCAACTCTCTCTTCATTTAGTGCTCTAAAGGCATAATCAGAGTTTTAGGTCAAACAACATTGGTTCCCAAACACAGTATAAATAATTCTGAGAGAAACTCTGAACATAGCCCAGAGATTCAAAGTGAGGGCTTTTTCTTCAGCACAACTGGCAGTGCCCAGGTATTGTAAATCTGGCGCACAATATTATCCAGCACTATAAGGCTCCTTACAGTACTGTTGTTAGAAATATAGCATTTACCAGAACAAGTGGGCTGCCTATTTCAGCAGTGCTGCTCCACCAGTGCTGGAGAAGATGAAGCTGCTTTGCAATTCACCTAGCCAGTTAATCAAGACTATGTGGAGAAAACATACTTTCCCAATGCCTGCATATTATCACGCGTTTCTGAAGCACGCGTCTTGCCCCCACGAATCAGAACATGCCTGTGTTGGTTTTATTCAAAACCTGCCAAATTTCTGTGGGGATTCCCCTGTTTGATTTCTTTTATGCTTGGCACCAGTCTAAGTCTTTAATGCCAGAGGGTCATTCAGAAATATATTTATTAGTTTATTAAACTAAACTGCCTTCATTGCTGCTCTTGAAGCATATCTGTGCTGGTGGTAGTTTTCTGTATGCTTTGGAGATAAACAATTAATTAGAAACTTCAAAATCTGTCTGAATTTGTGGGTTAACCTGCAAGTCTCCACTCAGATAAGCAGAAACTTGCTGCAGCTAAAAAATATTGAACAGCACAATTCAGCGAGGAATAACTAGATGAGATGGGGTTTGGCAAACAATCAAGATAGACATTTTTTTCAAGGAGTTCCTACACACAAGTTGAACTGTAACCCTGACTTGAGTTTTAGATTCAAACTAAAGGTTAGATTTTTAGTTATATTTTAGAGTTAGCTTTTAACTCTTGGCAAGTTATGAGAAGTGAGTCCTCAAGTGGGCTGAAGAGTGAAAAATCAGATTTCTTCAGAGTATGCATCACAGCAGTCAAATAGCAATTGCTCGCAGTATTCCTTTGCAGTATCCCTCCTTGCTAGCCTAAAAGGAGAATTGCTGAGAAACAAAATACTGAATTGGACAAAATGCAGCATACACTGGATGTGAGGTTTCAGGCTTTTGAGACAAAGGTGAGGCTACCCAGAGCACAACTAGCAAGCTGCAGATTGACTCCTGCAAAGTGTGAAGCGCCCTCAACTTCCAGTGGCTCTAGTGGGAGTTGATTCTGCTTGCCATGAAATAGGGCACCTGATTCTGTCACCTCTACCAGAGTTGATTTCAGAAGGACTGTTAATGTAACCTAATACTTCTCAGCATGAGTAAAGGAAGCAGAATCTGATCCAAGAAGAGCTCAGCTCTTCAGAGGTTCTGGCCCTAACTGAATAAATTTGTACAGAAATTTTAGTTTGTGGGCGGCGGGGGGGGCAGGAAGATCGTTCCAAATGTAACTTTGTTGTTCTAAGAAAATACTGGTGAAGCAAGAAATAGCTGCTGAAGAAAGGGCGGACGTTTAGAAAACCAGGAGAAGGCTAGGAGCATATAAATCATGGAGATGCCATACCTCAAGGATATAATGGAGCTGGCTAATTAGAGATCATATGGATTAGCGTAATCAGAATGCAGATAGACTATGCTGAAATCCTTCACCAAAGAAATATATGTAAAATGGTGTTACTACATAAAATGAGGACAGACTCAAAAAAGAAATGAGGTAGAGAACAGTCTAATCACTGGGTTATCAGAGTCCACAAAGTGAAACTGGATTCTGTTTTTAGGGACCTGTCAGTGGGACTATTCTCAGAACAAAGCCTCAGCTGGCCACACAAGAGGAGAAATCCCTTTAATGATATTTAAAACTATGTTATTGATACCGATGTGATGACAGCAGTTCTTTATCTTGCCAGACTTAGGCTACCCTATTATGAAAAAAGTATGTTTTGGGACACAGACTGTACAACATGTTTATGGGATAAAATGTAATCGGGCATTGCAAGTGCAAATGCTAAAATTTCTATGTAAGATGGGGTCCAGGCATAGTTAGCATCAGTTAACAAATAGGCTGTTGCATGCTGTTAGTGTAGATGCTAATTGTTCCCTGAGTCTTTTAGTTTTGGTTTAGTTTAGTTCAGAAATCTTGTGAGAATAAGTTCCATAAATATTGGGGTATCTACACTGTAATTAATTTCTTTGTCTGTGATGTGTGTAGAAAGTAGAACTATACAATATGGTTTGCAGAATTACTGCTTTAGATATTTCATTGAATTAACATTCAAGCTTTTGCTAATTAATTTACAGAATTTTATAGTGAATTGTTTTAATAGATTTGGGGTTACTGTTTGATATCACATTCACCTCAGATATCCCTGGCCTGTCCCTTCCTCATGCCATCTGCTTCTTTTGAAGAGCCTTCCAAAATCCTCCCCACTGCTCGTACTGAAGAATTGCTGGGGCACAAGATCTCCTCAATAGGTTTAAATTTCCCTCAGTTCCATTTTAAAGCTGAGATTCCTGTGTTCGCTTCAACATTCTGGACTAGCAGTGTGCAAAAAAAGTTAAACTGCCAACATGAGTGATGGAGAGATTCTTCTGCTTGCTCCTGGGCTGAAATCCTTAACTTTTCTCTTACACCAGACAAGGCAAACTCCAGTTGGATGGAATCCTTAAACCTGAATTATAAACTCTTGGCAATAGTGATTTATCATGGAAAGATGATGCAAGTAGTGGCTCCTAATGCTATTAAGCCAGGGGCACTCAAACTGTCCCCATTATAGGGTCACATTGTCCAAGAACTCAAAAGTAACACCCAATTCATACAGAATGTTTCAGAATGCAGCCTCTCTCATCTAAAATGGAGGAGCTGCCCACAGAAACTACAAGTCCCATTGTATAATAGTACACCTTAATCCAAGCAAACTGGCAGAATGCAGATGAAGGAGCTGCTGCCAGTGACATTGCAGAACTCCAGTGGGTACACTTCGGCAAAATGCGTTTCAAGGCATCTGTATATTTTGACCAGAGACCATATCCTGTATTCTTCCAAGTACACTTCATAATAAATTCCATAGTATTATTGTCTGGAGATTACAGGACGGGAGCGAAATTGTAAACTAACTACTCCATAAATCATTTTAAAACACCAATTAAACACAATGAGAAAATTCATAAACTAAAAAGTAACGACCAAGACAGCATAGGGTTCCTTTTATCTTCTGTTATGGTCAGTGTCTTGGAAGATACTGGTGGCAAGAGTAAACAGTTTTATGAGGAGGAAAAAGAGAAACTACATGTATATGTCAAATAGCCAGTTAGAGAGAGGTAAAATGAAGAGCAGGGGGAGAGTGAAGTATTGGAAAGAGGCTCAGCATGAGGCTTCTTACTAGCAGTGGCAGCAGAATAAATTGATTGATTGATTGATTGAAAGTTGTAGAAACATTGAATGAAGATGCCAGGAACAGGAATTGAGTTCTTTGCAGAGGCTAATGATAATGAAACATGTGGTGATCATCCATGACCTACTGAGAGACAGTTATAGCATGAAAGTATTGCAGTGCTGGGGCTGAGGATTAAATATCTATTATCTGCTTGTATATATTGATTTCATTACGGATCATCGTAGGTTCATTTTCCATCCTCTGTGTGAGGAGTTGGCAGAATTTCAGCTGCATTCAGGGCTCATCATCTGGCAGGGGTCACATAACAGATGTTAAGGGAGGGCTCTGATGAGAAGCCTGCTTAATTGTAATCTCATATATAGTTTTCATAGAAAGATTCTCTAGAGGAAGAAGCAAAGTGAGTATTCAAAGGCCGAATTGTGCAAGGGTGGGAAACGGAGTCTTTTTAGCTGGTTCCATTATGCCAAGGGATTGCAGGAGTGTCTGTGAAACTGTGCCAAACTAGAAGCATTTGAAGGATGATGTGTCAGCCATATCATGGAGAACCAAATGCTACATGTGGTGTTAGCTCAATTTCTTAATCTTTTGTGCAATTTTGCCTGCATAATACCCTGAGTTTGCTCATGCAAACTAAATAGCTGTTCATTATACTACTGATTTTGAAAGGATAGTCTTGTGGTTAGAGCAAAGAGCCTGTAGTTTGAGTATTATTTCTGTTCTTGTCACTAACTTCTTGTATGGCCTTGGACATGGCACTTACAACCTTTGTGCCACAGTGTTTCTATCTGTAAAATGAGAATAATGGCCTCACATCATATAATGAGGATTCATTCTGTGTTAAAGCACTTTGACTTCACTAGAAGTTCTGCAGAAACACAAAGTATTATTATGGAAATACTGAATGTAGTGTAACAGTCCCCATTTAAAAATCTGTCCCCAAAACTTTGCTTCTTTTGCTTTGCATCACATAGTTATAGAGCCACCATCACTCTGAAATCTCAACAAAATTTAAAAAAGTAAAATAGTATCAGGTACCATATTTGCCTTTGAATTTTTTATCTAAGTTGTGATTTTATAAATCAGTTTTCCCTCTTGTTGTTCATACAAACAAGGGAAATGGAGTATATAGAGTAACTGTATGCAAATGCATGAAGTAATAAAACTGAGAATATATAGGGAATTCTTTTTTCGATTTTTTTTATTCATTTTGGATGTTATGAGTAATTAAAATTTTTCAAAAGGAAGCATGTCTAGTTTTTATGTTGAAGGTATTCCTTTTTAAATATTGTCTCTGAATTCTATTCAGAAGAAATATTTTTAACCTAGTATACCAGATTAACTGTACTTTTATTCAATCTAAAGAAAGCTTCCTATATCTATCTTGTTTTAGATATCACTTTGCCACCCCTATAATTTACTATTCCTGTTTTCAGATGTCTGTGTAATTGGATATTATCAGGTATCAATTATTTGTAGTCTTCAGTAGGGATATGAGTGTGTACCAATTTAAACAATTAACCAATGAGCCTGGGTTACAAACAGGCCCCCCCCATGCCTCTGTATCAGAGGGGGGCAGGGAGTGGGAGCCCCGCGCATGTCAGCTCCCACAGAGCTGCTTGTTCCCCACCCCCCACTGCTGCCTCCCACAGAGGCAGCAACACAGGAGCTGTGCAGGAGGGAGCTGGTGTGTGTGAGGAGCCACCTGCACCTCCTCCTCTACCCCCCCTACCCCGCCTCTTATATAGAGGCAACAGGGGGGACAGGTGGGAGGTAGTACACCTGGGGAGCTGGCTTTTCAGCTGGCTTCCATGAAGCAACCTGTCCCCCTGCGCTGCTGCTTCTGTATAAGAGGCAGCAGTGTGTGGGGGAGTAGGTGGCAGCTCTCCATGAGCACTGGCTTTTCCTGCTCTCCCTCATGTAAATGTGCAACTGCAGTAAATTTCAGTGGCTACCTGCTTACAAAATTAAACACATTTTAACATCCCTAGTCATCAGAGCTGTCCTGCATTGTTAAAATAGTAACACAATTTTTTCAAGGTTATTGGTGTATTATCCATACTTACATAATATGCACTTTATTACTAATATCAGGATAACAAGGAAGTGATGCATTTAAGTGGAGTGTGTTGTGAGGAGAGGTGTATATATGTACATACCTGTGTATACTTTTTTTTCCAGATCAAGTTTTTCCTCCAACATGCAACATAGAAAAGAATTTTCTCTCTCTAAATTACCTTGCGGGATATCTACAACCAAAGACAGCAGAAGGATGCCTTATGTCTGCCACTGACCAAGAAAGAGAGGTTCATATTATTGAATTAATCACTCCAAATTCCAATCCCTACAGGTAAACTGTGCACTAATTAAAGTTATAAAGTAAATTTGTGAGGAGTAGATACCTAAAGTAAAAATGCTAGTGTCTGTCAGAAATGAAATCAATGGGATTTCTTGATCATTATAAGAAAAAGTTGCAAAATCTGACCTGCTGTACTTCAAATTAGGTAGAAATCTGAGTTGTTTAGTACAAAAAAGATATTAGGTAAGGATGTTAAATTGCAATTAATCAGCTCCATCAACTACTTGATTATTAGATAAGGGGGGAACTGCAGAGCTGCAACAAGGTTAGCTCCTAGCCCTGGGAGATAATCCCGCCGTGCCTCTGCCTCTTAAATGTAGTAAGAGTCTGAGTCCCGGCTCACACCCCATCCCCCAGTGTGCCTCTGTTTCTCCGGCTCCCCCCAGCACTGGCTCCTCCACTCCTCCGCTGCCTCTTATAGAGGCAGCAAGGTGGGGGAGAAGTGACTAGTCGAGTAATGACTCGACTACCCGATAAACCTAGTCTTATAGGGTAGTCAACTAGTTGCTTACATCCCTAATATTGGAGTAGGATCCTGAACTGATGCATTCATTTTCCTATGTAGACTGTAAAAGTGAAGTGCAGTTCCTATGGGCCATATCTTGCCATTGTTATGCAAGCAGAACTCCTATTCAGTTCGGCAGAGAAAGAGTAGCAGACTCTCCTCTTAAGTGGTCACGATGAGCTAGATGGCACAAAGAAGCGAGGATTGTCTGGTAGCGAGAACTCCCAAATTGTAATCTTGGCACTAAGAGGTGACTTACCAAATCATGTACACTCTGAGAGTCACTTTCCCTCACAGTGTTACTGTCAAAATCATTAAGTTTATCTAAAGTGCCATAAAGATACAGGGCAAATTTAGTGGTATAGGTTGTGGGGTTTTGTTTTGTTTTTTAAAGAGTAATAACTTGTACCCTAACTAGTTCCAGTGAAGTCCATAGTAAATCTCTGCTTGATTTTAATGGAAGCAGAGTTGTGCCAATGCAGAGCATTTTCGAAATTCTCACCTGTAAAATATATAGGGGCTAAATATCATTATTGTACATAAAAGCTCTATTTCACTGTCCACATGCACCAGTAGAAATGTGTATTCATCAAAAGACAGTGGAGAGAGACTCCTTACCAAAAAGGCTAGGCACATCTCTAAGAAAGTTCTTCAATTTTGTCCAGATTTAAGTTGTATTTTCATTTCAGGCAAATCCAGCTCCTTGGCAGTGGAATTAGTTTGCCTCTATTATAGAAAGCAGTTGGATTTGGAGAGGGTTAAGTGGGGGATACACACACTTGGCATGATGATGAATCCAGCTCTGCAGGAATTCCTTGAGTAGCAATGAGTTTGGGGAGGACAGGCTTATGGCTGAAGCAGGGCAGAGTGTAGGGCCTATGGATCTGCTGCTGAAAGGCATGAGTTGGGACTGTATGGCTATTTTAGCCATCATGCTGAAGCATCATGTCTATGGAGCAGCTCCTTTTCATCACTGCCACCCCAGCCTCCTGTGCTGTTACCCACCTATAGCCTTCTCTTGGTTTTGGCTGAAAGTGCATAATGGGAGTTTAATTTTCAGATGCTTAAACTGCAGGAACTTGGGAGTAGGAGTTGGGTGGGACTGGGAGGCTTGCCTCCCCCAGCCTTACCTTCACCAACCACCCATGCTCAATCCTTTTATGTGCCAAATGTTGTCCATGTTGAAAGGACAGCAGCCTGTGCAAATTGTATAACCCCTAAGCTATATAGAAACCAGCAGGAAGCTAAAAGGGGAATGTGCATAACTACAAGAAATAAGACAAAGGTTCCGAGATTAAATCAAAATGCAAAGTTGAATTGAGACCCATTAATTGGCAACAAGCACAATTTTATAGTGTAAAATCGTGATGGAAATTAATTCTGTTGAATTTATACTCTGCATGAGGAAATGTTATTGCTGCATACAAAGCCACTTACTCTCCCTATTTTACTGTGCTGTTAAAAATCTGGATTGTATTCCTCAATTTTCCAGGAATCAGTAGGTTGAATGTCTGTTTTCTTTTCTTTTCTTTTTAAAATAACTATATCTCCAGAAGTATTGGAAACTAAACCAAGAACGTAGTAATACTATAAGGCATAAAAAATTCTAAGTGAAAGTAATTTCCACATGTTAGCTGCACAGGCTAATTTTACCAAAATGTATTATTTGCACTTTTTAGTATTGCTGGACCTATGTAATTGTTTTTGTATTGTTTTTTGATATAATGGGGTGATTTTGGTCTTAAATATATCTATACTAATGGAAAAGTGAAGCAACTATATATTTAAGGGTTGTAATGCTGAAATGAGGAAAAAATACTGTAAAGGAAACTGTTCGTGGTTCAATTTAATATATTTTAAATAATAAGCTGAAGATGTAACACAGCTTTCTGTAAATAAGAGAGAAAATATTGAACAATAATTATTAATCTGAAAAATCATTTGTTTCTGTTATATAAAATTATTTTAGCGTGCGTGAAATAATCTGTTTTGCACATGTTGTGTTGCCTAGGATATGCTCCAGCATTTTAATCAGCTGGCCAGACACTGGAAAAATGATGGATTGGAAGACGGTTGACAGCTGAAAATTTCTGGCATTCTGGTCTTACTTTGTCTTTATTTTCCACATACAGTGCTTTCCAGGTGGATATAATCATTGACATTAGACCATCTCAACTAGACGTCATACTTGTCAGGGACCTCGTACTTATCCTCAAGTGTAAAAAGTCTGTCAATTGGGTTATCAAGTCACATGATGTTCAGGGAAAACTGGAAGTAATTGTAAGTTAAGGCATTTTAAATTTTTGAAGTGGCAAAATACTGTTAAATAATTATGTGAATGAGTTAGCATTCATTTATAAATGCTCTCTGTATGTTGTCGTCTTAGTCAACATCTCTGAGTTACTAGCAGTTTTCACAAATTAGTATTCAGCAGCATCTACATATATATAGGGGAACATATACACAGAAGAACTCGTCTGGCAGCTGGTGACATTTGGACCAGTTAGTTGATGGTGCTGCTGATTAGCATGTAAATCCCTCCCACTTCTCTGATACCCAAGAGATGTATGCCATACAGATTGCTCACACATTGAAAAATATGTTCACTTCTCATTTGCCAATACCTTAGTGAATAAATTCACAAGTCCATCTCAGAAATTGGCAAGGCACCTGCAAGTGCAGAATGCATGATCTTAACTACAGGTAACACACCTGCATCTCTTGCGGAAGTAGTAACTCTTTAGTTCTCCCTATGGTGGTATTAACTCTGGACTCTATGGCTACATAGGTCCTTGTGAGTAATTCTACCTAACATATAGTTTCAGGGGGTAGCCGAGTGAGTCTGTACTGGATAAACTTAAAAAACAACAAATGGTCTGGTAGCAATTTATAGACTAACAACACATGTAGATGGTATCATGAGTTTTCGTGGGCACAGCCCACTTCTTCAGATGACCGGAGTTTTGAGTTTAGGCTGTGCAGACCCAAAATAAATAGGGGACAAGAGGGAAGGAAAAAAATGGAAGGGGGCGGGAAACAAGGAGCAGAGGGTATGAAAATATCAAAGGGAAAACCAAATAGGCAGAACTGGTAATCTATAAGCACCTAAAGATTAGATAGTTAAAAGAAGCAGATAAGGATAATAAAATCATGACTGGTATGGAGAGAGTGAATAAGAAAAAGTTATTTACTTGTTCCCATAATATAAGAACTAGGGGTCACCAAATGAAATTAATAGATAGCAGGTTTAAAACAAACTAAAGGAAATGTTTCTTCACAAAGCACACCGTCAACCTGTGGAACTCCTTGCCAGAGGATATTGTGTAGACCAGTACTTTCACAGCGTTCAGAAAGAACTAAGTAAATTCATGGAGAATCGGTTCATCAATAATTATTAGCCAGAATGGGTAGGAATAGTGTCCCTAGCCTATGTTTGTCAGGAGCTGGAAATGGATGATAGAAGAATACAAGCAAGATAACTGATTTTATTAAAATGGTCCCTTTTTATATTTTAATTGGATATTCAATAAAATAGTTAGTATGTATTCTTTCTTTTAGTGGATTACACAATGATGTAATATTTTTCATTTAGCATAACAATTACAGTTTGAAATATTAGAACACCAGGTAACTTTTATTTACCTGCTAAAGTTCTTGGACAAAAAAATTCTCCATTGTGTCATTCAAAATGCCTCCCTTAGCTATACATCTTTGTCATAAAATAATTAAGGTGGGGAGGTTAGGTGAAAGAACTGAATGCCCTATGCCATTCAAAAATACTATACATCACAGTGCTTGTCCAAGAATTGGTCTGTGTTTATTCCTCTTTTCAGATGAAGTATTTTCCAAGATCAATTTTGGACAATGCATAAAAACATTACACAACAATTAGGTAATGTTTCATTGTGTTCTTTTTTATTAGCTGAATCAATTCCACACTTTTGAATTTTCCTGATTTCTTTCCCTCAGCACAAATCACAGTTGTCCTGGGAGAAAGTACTGGCAGACAGTAGAAGGTGAGCTGCCTCTATACAAAAGCAGGGTGTTTTTTAAGGCCCTCCAGATTCATAGATTCATGGAACTAGGGAAGGAAAGACCAATTAGGTCATCAAGTCCATTCCACAGCTTATTGTGCTCATGAGATTTTTTGATTAAATTTGACAACCCAGTAATATATTTAGTATGGAAAAACTAATTACAAAATTATAGCGCACATTTGTCCAGATACAGCCTGAGGTATAGTTCCACTGAGACCGTGGCTGAATTTGGCCTATTTTGAACAGCATTACATATTTGTATTGATGTTGTACCTGGGTAAATTAATTCAAATTATTTTCTGCCCTGCATTTAGGGCACTGTTCAGCATGTTTGATATTCTAACCACTCCATTCAAGCATGCCTCCTTTTGCAAAACTATAGTGGGTGAGGATGAGAAAATACAATGTCTTGCCAAGTTCTATGATATCCCATTTACTTTAGCGTATATAAGTGCAGGTGGGAATGGGTGAAATTCTTGTTGGGTAAAAACCAAAAGATTTAAATTTTTAGAGAAATGTCAGACTGTGCTATGGATTTAAAAAAAACCAAACCCTAGTGTCATAAATGATGCCAAGTTCTGAAATGGTCTCCATTTTCAGACAGCATTTAATATAGGTGTTTGTGTATTTTTTGGGGGGGTGCCTGCCAAGTATATAGAAGAAAACATTCTGCACCCTGCCAGAGGAAATGATGTTCTATCTTCACAACAACATCTGGAAATATGCAAATAGCTTTCTAGCGCTAACATATAATGGTTTATGAATATGGGTGTTTAAGGTATGAATCAGGATGTTGACTGGGCATATACATGAATCGCCCAATTCTGCCAACCCTTGTTACTATATGTAGTCTCAGTGGGTTTATGCACAGAAGTGGAGGTGTTTGTGTGCAGTGGAGTGGTGCAAACAAATCCTAAAATTGGCCAGTGCCAATTATAACAATAATATTTACTTGTTTGTGTTGTCCTAACAAAAAATTTTAAAAGTGAAGGCAGAAAAGGAAATATGGCAAATTTGGGGCAGTACAGTAATTCCTGCCAGGCAGAATTGTTTGAAACGTATATGAAGGTATATCTAGATTTATATCTGCTGAAAAGAAAGTTATTAGAACCAGGCCTTTAAGAAGAGACAGTAAAATTGGGATGTCTTTGGTTTGGGATTGTTTTTCTCCTCAAGAAATTTTCCTATATTGATAATGCTTCAGAAAACGTTGGTGCTATGGATCACTACGATCACTTCTTATACTTTTCGCTTCCAATATGATCTTTAAACTGTAGGTATCTAATTTTCATGTCTAAGAGCCTGATCATGAATTCCCATTCATTTTTCTGGAAGTTGAGGATATAAAGAATGTCATATTGGACCTTTAGTGTTATCAGTAGACTTATCTACTAGTAAGTCCTTCTCCAAAAATGTGGTGGTTGACACAGTAAGAGGAAATTTATTTTGTTGAACCTTGATCTGAAACAGTACACAAATAAGACAACAGTCCTACAGCAAGCTGGCAAAGGCAGATCAGCATTGTATCTTTTCAAGTTCTAGAGTAGGAAAGGATTAAGATTTGGTCACATTGACAGCAGACAAAATGGGAAACAAATGGGAATTTTACCAAAACTGCAACATATATAATGAAGAAAATAATCAGCATGGAAAAATGTTTCTTGTGCAGCATGAAAATGGGAAACTGTATTCAGAAAACACAATGAAGACACATTTCAGTTATTGCTGAAAAGTGGTACATTTTCCTCTTTACTGGACACTAAAACTAAGCTGAATGTAATAATAATGTGATTGTTACAGAATTTAACTTTGTGCAAATATATGTTTAACCTCAAGATGCTAAATATTTAAAATACATTTAAAGTGTAAATAGCAAATATTTTACGATGCACCCAGTGACAGCTAGAGATACTTGTTTTATCCCTTTGACTTGAATATTTAAGTAAGAGGTTTGACATTCAGCATAATTAGTTATAATGAAATGAAAGATAAGTGACTAATCTGTAGCCAGTAGAAAATTGTTGTGTGATGTCACTATATGGGTTGCATACAAATTGTATTTATGAAAATATATAGTATTTATGTATTATAAACATGTTATATAGATAGCCATGGTCCTGAATGGTGCTGAGTACCAGTGACTTCAACATTTACAGTGATGTTTGGGGATGCACAGCATTTTGTGGGAGGCATTTAGTACTTTGGAAGATGAATCTCTAAGAGCCTTTTCTAGTAAAACTCTGAGGCCCTGCTAATTGCAGTGAGAGTTAGTGCATAAGTGCCTTTAAGAATCTGGGTCTCAAGTTCCCTCAATTTCCATTGGCTTCAAAGGGGGAATAGATGATGTGCAGCTCTGTCATACAGGATTGCTGCCATATTGTGCAGGACACAGGGCATGTGGAACAATGATTTTATACATACATACAAATATATAAATAAAATTAACCCCCCCCAACCCTGTAGTAACTAGTAAGCCAAGATGGACGTTTTTAAAAATCAGGTCTCTTATTGTGGTTCACCTCAATTCATGACTAACCTCAACTCATGGTCTGAAAATCATTTGGTTCTATTAAAGCTCATACGTTTGTCTCAGTGAACTTTTAATAAGAAAAGAATAAAATATGTTGACAGACCAAATGCAATAGTTCTTACACTTTTGTATTTTAAAACCTCTTTGTGGGTGTGTGGGCGGAGAGAGAGGGAGAGAGACTGGAAGAAACTTCAAGTGCCAACTCATGCCCAGATATATTTTTTGTTTATGTGCAGGCACCAAACAGTATTGGCTTTGGAAAAGAAACAGAACGCTCTATGACTATGACTAAATTAATAGTACCTGATGTTCCCTCGTCTCATGAGAATTTGATTAAGTGGGCTTATGACCATGACTACAGCCCTGTTACTTCCTACACAAAAGCCCCCGTGGCTAATAGGTTCCATGTACGAATTGAAGATACTGGTAAGCATGAGGGTGGATTTTTGTCATGTACAAAAATGTGTCATATTTTTAAGCAGTGATATTTGACCGAGCCTCGTGTGCTTGAGGTTTAATTCACTGGGATCTTAGTAGTTCCATGCTCAAAGTACCAAGGGTACTCACATCTTTATATCAGCAAAACCTTGCAAGAAAAAAAGTTACCAGAGTTCTAGTTGGGAAATCACAGGAGATTTTGTTATTACTCTGAAATATTGGTGGAATTCAGGAGCTACATTTACCACAACCTAAAGCTAATATAATTAGCTGTACTCCAGATGTGGTCACCTCATCTCAAAAAAGATACCTTGGCATTGGAAAAAGTTCAGAAAAGGGCTACAAAAATGATTAGGAGTTTGGATCGGCTGCCAAATTAGGAGAAATGACTAAAATTGGGATTTTTAATCTTAGAAAAGAGGAGACTATGGGGAAATATGATAGAGCTCTATAAAATCATGAGTTGCGTGGAGAAAGTAAATAAGGAAAAGTTATTTTCTTTTTCCCATAACACAAGAACTAGGGGCTCACCAAATACAATTAATATGTGACAAATGTAAAACAAACAAAAGGAAGCATTTCTTCACATAACACACAGTCAACCTATGGAACTCCTTGCCGGAGGATGTTGTGAAGGCCAGGACTGGAACAGATTCCAAAAGAACTAGATAAATTCACTGAGGATAGGTCCATCAATGGCTATTAGGCACAAAAGGGCAAAAACCTGTTGAGGCCAGTTACTGAGATTGCAACTCTGAATAAGCATGCAGTGAAGCTAGAGGCCAAATATTAATTTATTTGTCCACTATTGTAAATCAAGAGAGCTTGCCTGAATATTGAAGTTACCCAAGTGTATGTCTGGAACTCTAATTTAGTTAATTCTGAATTCACATTGACAGGTAACACTAAAATTTTACTCCAGCAATTGATGTGTGACTATTCATGAGTTGTGATGTTTCCTTCTCATTTGTTTATGTTATGCAGATAATAGGCCCATTCCTTTTAGTTCTTTTTCAATCCTTACTGAGACAAATTTTCAGCAGAAATATCTCTGATTGAACATTTACAAGTTGGGCCCATTGTAAACTACTGCACCTCTTCAAAGAAAAAATTGTAGTTATCTCTTAAATTTAAAGATGCTACAGCTTTTGTGGTCTGCAAGAGCACTTATTCTGGATAATGGCTGTTGCATTGTCAAAGCAAAGAATACCTAGACCAGGTCAGCCGGACAGAAAATTATACAGATATTCCCCATATGCTATGCAGAATTGGCAGCCACACCAGGCCCCTAGACGAGTTGGTCTATGTGGGGGGAAGGGTTGTCTCATCGTTCCCAGAAGGGGGCAGGAGGCAGGGCCGCAAGTGCTCCACACCGGTTCTCGGTGCTGCCTGGAGCACAGCACAGTCCACCCCCAGCCCTTAGAGGCACCTGGCACATGGTGCTGTAGCATCAATTTAAAGGGCCCAAGGCCCTTTAGAATCACTGGGTCCTGGGGCAACTACCCGCTTCCCCCTCTTCCCGTTGGTGGGCTTGTAGATGCTATAATTAGATTTTACAAAACTAGTAACAAGTGTGCACTTCTGGATTATGATATTAACCTTCCCATGGAGCCCCAGGTAATTCCTGTAGGCTCTCCAGCACATCTTTCCACTCAAATTGAACTTTGTGATGAAAGACTATTAAAATAAAAAATCACCTCATTAGGTTTTTCCAATCCCAAAGGGTCGATCACTGACACCAGGTCAATGGATATGCTGGATCTCATACTAAAAACAGTGCTGACAGCCAATTGTATTTGGTAAACTAAAGATCTACTAGCTAAGAAAAAGAGTTTATTGAGAGGTTAACAAAGGCAAAATATACAAAAGGTGAGTTTGTAAGTCCAATTGATAGCAGAGATGTAATGTCTGCTAGTTCCCTTCACTTTCTCAGATCTCCAAAACGATCTTGTGAGACCACATATCTGGAAAAACCCCATCCAAATAGATTAGAGATGCTGAATTGCTCCCTGAGGGTACGTCTACACTACCACCCTAGTTCGAACTAGGGTGGTAATGTAGGCAACCGGAATTGCAAATGAAGCCCGGGATTTGAATTTCCCGGGCTTCATTTGCATATAGCCGGGCGCCGCCATTTTTAAATGTCCGCTAATGCGGACTCCGTGCCGCGCGGCTACACGTGGCACGGACTAGGTAGTTCGGACTAGGCTTCCTACTCCGAACTACCATTACTCCTCATTTCAGTTCTAACTAGGGTGGTAGTGTAGACATACCCTGAGTTCCTTCTTATAGTTGAAATAATCTGGTAAGTACTTTTAACCCAGCATGGGTTCTCTCTACATTGACTAAACAGACAAAAGTTGTGTATCTTGCATTTTTGCTTAATGGCCCTTGATTTGAAGTTAAAAACAAATTTTCATTTATATTTCCACAGTTCCAATTTCCAGTCGGTAAATACAATGTAAAGACAATGTGATAATCGAAAACAATCCTTCATTAGTTTCAATGCAGTTTTGTATATCAAGTAAATTACCATCTAAACACATTATTGTTCTAGGGTTAATGAAGTAAATGGATAAGAAGCACAGGAAACAGGCTAGTAGATACAATAACATTAGCATTTCCTTTTGATCTATACTAGCAAGTGAATTAATTGGTTTGGGCACATATTGCCTTTTAGCAATTCTGTGGTATTCACATACAAATGAATTGCCCTATTGCTCTCAACCTAGCTGGTCTGTGGCTGAGAACGAGTGACTTTGTTAGATAGTATCACAGTGTTTTCGTTAATTAAATGTTCAAATGATCAAGAAGTCGAGGAAAGGGATGCAGTAATTTGATTTATTCTTTTCTGTTTCTAGATGAGATGAATGACGAAGACCACCCTTTTCCTCCTGAACTGCTAGATACTAACCCTCTGCCTGCTCTGAAAGAGCCCACATTAAGTGACAGCTTTGGTTTTCCTTTTCACATTAACAATGGAAGGCATGAAAAGGCGGGAGAAGGAATCTCCTTATCAAGGGATACGGCAGACACAACCATAAAGAATAGTTTTTATGAGCAGCTGCTTCGGAAATCGGAAGAACCTGAAGAGGTGCAGGGAAGCATTGATGTAGCCCTCTCAGTAAGATGTGATGACAAAACAATGACTGTTGCAGTAGAAAAAGACTCCTTGCAGGTTAGTCTGCTCTCGTAGTCCCAGAATAGGTTGATCTTGTGTTAGAATATTTCACAGATAATTTGATTACAGGCAGTCCCCGGGTTACGTACAAGATAGGGACTGTAGGTTTGTTGTTAAGTTGAATCTGTATGTAAGTCGGAACTGGCGTCCAGATTCAGCGACTGCTGAAACTGATGAGTTTCAACAGCGGCTGAATCTGGACGCCAGTTCTGACTTACATACAGATTCAACTTAAGAACCCCAGGCGTCCCCAAGTCAGCAACTGATTTTGCAGATCAGCTGGAAGCACCGCAGGTCCGGCCTGGGTCCTCCGCGGCTTTGCTCAGTGTCTCCCTGGTCAGCGTCTCCCTGGTTATGGGTAAGGGCTGGTCAGGATCTGGCCCTCTGTCAAGTATTTTAGAATATTCATATTATACAGGCAGTCCCCGAGTTACGCGGATCTGACTTATGTCGGATCCGCAGTTACGAACGGGGATTTTTTCGCCCCGGAGGACTGGAGCGGCGGGACGCCTGGTCCCACCGCCCGCCTCCTCCGGGGCGAGAAAAGCTGCTCCCCGTCTCCCTGGTCTGCTGGGGGAGCTAGCAGACCAGGGAGACAGGGAGCAAAGCGGCGGAGGACCCGGGCCGGACCCGCGGCGCTTCCAGCTGATCTGGAAGCGCCACGGGTCCGGCCCGGGTCCTCCGCGGCTTTGCTTAGCGTCTGCTGGCTCCCCCAGCAGACCAGGGAGACGGGGAGCAGCTTTTCTCGCCCCGGAGGAGGCGGGCGGTGGGACCAGGCGTCCCACCGCTCCAGTCCTCCGGGGCGAAAAAATCCCCGTTCGTAACTGCGGATCCGACATAAGTCAGATCCGCGTAACTCAGGGACTGCCTGTATAATACGAATATTCTAAAATACTTGACAGAGGGCCAGATCCTGACCAGCCCTTACCCATAACCATATGCCAGAAAACCCACAGCTTGAAGGGGAAACATGGCAAAAAGTCTTTCTCCCAGTTCTAGATTCTGGCCTGTCCCAGAATTTGTAAACAGGTGGTTCTACAGGCACATTTCCAGTTGTGAAGAGAAGAAGCGGTTTCAATATGACAGAAACTAAAGACTGGGATTGTGATGTACACCAGCAATGATCCATCTAGGTCTCCCCTACCATTCACCATCTACACACAGGCTGCCTGGGACTTAGGGAGAAATAATCTGCACTGTGGACAGAAGCCTTGTACAGAATGTTTGATCAGTTTTGGCTGAGCAATGAAGATCATTCTCGAATGAAAAAATATGGCTATTTCCTTTTTTAACCTCCATGATACTTATCCCCTCTGTTGTTCGGCAAGCTAATGTCATTGTGTGACAGTATTTTGTAATAAATGTCATAGGACACACAGTTCAATGATAGTCTTATTAATAGTCATCCAAAATATACTAACCTGTACTTACATGATTGCAGATTATACTCTTATTTTATCTCAAACATTTGTGTTTTCACTGAGGTTTCAGACACTTGTGCAATGTCATTGTTTAGGCTAATGGTTACATGGGGAGAGAACTCTCACTACTAGATCCTGCCTGTAAAGCGAAGATGAATGGAACCCATTTCATTTTGGAATCTTCATTGCAGAGTTGTGGGACTCAGAAAGGCTATGCCTTGGATAACATAGTTTATTTTAACTCTGTAAGTATTATATAAGGAGAGTTGTCTGTCTTTGTGCTGTGTATTGTTATGGCATAATAAGGCTTTAAGGACCCGATGGTGGCGCTAGTATGAGTAGGCAGGAGGTGTGTCCCCTGCTAAGTCTTTTCATGCCCAGTCTAGGGCTATTCACCGTTACATTCCCTGTACTCAGGAAAGTGTGAGGCTGCTCCATTGTTTGCTACTGAGGCACATAATATCCCAAAAAGAGTGGGAGGAGATGAGTGTGTGTTCCCTTCTTTCACAGTAGGCATTGGAGCAGGCCAGGTGCACCTTGGGGGAAACCAGCTGCATTCCTCCAAAAATGATGCAGCCTTCCTTCATGCATCAGGCTACTTGTAGAGAGAGGCACAAGACTTTCCTGAGCTTCCACAGAGCAACTTTGCAGTACACCCCTGCCACCCGCACAACTTCACCCTGAGCTGGCATGACAACAAAAAATATGATCACAAAAGAAACATAAATTAAAATTCATGTTGTCGCATTTTTTTTTATAGTTTTGACTGAATAGTGCTCCTGAAATTGAGAGAACAGTGCAATCTGTGCAAGTTTCTATAGTAAACTTCCGATAATCTGGCACCTTCAGGACCCAGGGGGTGCTGGATTATCAGATATGCCGGACTATCAGAAGGGGGAGCTATGAGGGATCTGGAGTGGGGTGGAGGGATGGCGCTGTGGGACCCCAGCTGCTCTGCCCCAGGCATCCCCAAGTCAGCCGCTGCTGAAACTGACCAGCAGCTGACTCAGGGAAGCCTGGGGCAGACCAGCTCCAATTGTCCGGCTGCCTGGAGCACTTCCAGGTTCCAGGTGGTGCTGAACTATCAGGAGTGCCGGACCATTGGATGCAGGACAACTGGAGTTTTACTGTATCTTGCTCTTTGCTGTTTGGTGGAGGCTTGGGCTTTTCATGAGCAGAGAGACTGCTGCACATGGCCAATGGTGTGGTGCTGTTTTACAATGGGACAAGTGCCCACTAAAACACACATTTTCACCTGTGTCCACTAACATAGTACTTGAACTAAGTCTCCCACTGTGTAAGGTTGGTGGACTCTGCCAATAAGCTCATGAAATGTGCTTTCAAAAGTGTTTTTTGTTCTCTGGATACAGGAAGGAATTATTGTAGGCTGTTGTGTTGCTTATTACTTTTCACATGAGCATTAGCCTTATTCAGGTACATGTTTTAAAATAATTATTCAGTGCTCATCTGTTTATGTGCAAGATAGGCCTTGGCTTCAAGTTTGAATCCAAGTGCAGAATTCAGTTCCCCAACCTGAGTGTCCAAACAACCACTTGAATGAGTACTATGGGTACCCAGATACCTAAGTGCTGGTCAGAGCACCCAGTTTGAAAGTTGATTTCAGAATTCTCATAGAGCTGTACACTTGGGGAATGTAATCTGGATACAGGTATGTAAGTGGCTATATAAAGAATTCCACTTTGCTACTAGGCTTTCTACTACTAGAACTTGCACAGCAATTGCACCATGAACTTGAATAGATGTTGGTCAGGCCAGACCAACAAGAACTGACATGTTTTACTTCTGGGTTTTTTTGAAGCACATTGCAGTATCCCTAGCAAACAACGGAAATCTGTGTACAGTAATAGGTGTTTGATCAGTCCGAAACTAACTTAAAACTATTCTGTACTGGCAAGGCTTTCTAAGCACTTGACTTGGAGATGGGCCCAAACCAAAAAAAATGAATCAAAAGACCCCAAACCTGTGGAAAATACATGTCTCAATCTAATTAAGACTTTGTGTCTGGACCCAGTCTGTGTAGTGGGTCAAACTAATCCAAGCACCTCTCAGTAAAAAACTGATTTGGAGCTCCACCTTACTGTACAATATCTGG